AGGCCAAGGCGGTGCGGAAGAAGCTGGCGGCCCAGGAGGAAGCCGCCGCGCAGCTGGCGCAGGCCAAGGAGGCGGCCGAGGCGGCGGTGGCCCAGATGCGGCAGCAGCTGGAGGCGGCGCAGGGGCAGAGCGGTAAGACCACGCAGCAGGCGGCCGACATTGAGGCTTACAAGCAGCAGCTCAGCCAGGCGCTGGCTGACCTGGAGAGCGAGCGCCAGGAGCGCGACCAGCTGAAGCAGGAGGTGAGGCATTGGGCGGGGCGGGGCGAGTGCATCGGGCCGCCTGGACGTCGCAGCCGCCCTGCCGCCGGTCCGGCACCTTGCGCCAGCTGGACGACTGGCGCTCTGCTGGCGCTGACTGGAAGGCTGATGGACGCGTGCGCCGTGCTGCGCCGTGCTGCTTGTGGCTGCAGGTGACCAGCGCGGAGCGTGCCGCGGCGATTGCCAAGCAGCTGGCGGAGGAGGTGAAGGGGCAGCAGAGCAAGGTGGTGGACGCGCTGCAGAAGCAGAAGGCGGCTGCCGAGCAGCTGCAGGAGGAGCTGGACAAGGCCACCGCCGAGCGGGAGCAAGTGCAGGGCAGGCTGGCGACCGCAGAGGGCAAGGTGCGGCTTCGCTGGGCAGGCTGCTGCGGCCGCGGTACCACATCGCCGCCCCTGCTCAGCTGTGTGCAGCCTGGCTCTGCTGTGTGCAAGCGCCTGCCGTTCCTGTGCTCAGCGCCTCTCACGGCTTCCCTCCCGCCCCTCCCTGCACCCCGCAGGCCTCCACCCTCGAGTCCCAGCTGGCCGAGGCGGCTCAGGAGATGGAGCGGCTGTCACAGCGGGCGGCGCTGCTGGAGGAGGAGGTGCGCAGCCCGCGCGCTGCCAGCCCTCCTGCTGTGCATTGATGTGCCGCCTGCGATCTCCCATCCGAGCCCTACCCTCCCGCACCTCACCCACACCTGCCCGCCTCTCTTGCCTGCTCCTGTGCGCCCGCAGCTGGCGTCTGCTCAGCGGGAGGAGGCGGACTTGGAGGAGGAGGATTTGGCGCTGGCGCTGCAGCTGGAGGAGGCGCAGCGCGAGGCGGCCGAGGCGCGGGAGATGGTGGCAGAGGAGCGCCGCCGCGTGGCGGAGCTGGAGGCAGCCAAGGCGGCGGCGGCCACGGTGCGGGCGGCGGCGGCCTGCGTATGCGTCTGGGCTGCCCTGCACTGCCCATTTGTGTATGCGTATGGGCTGCCCATGCGCTGCCCATGCACAGCTCACTTGCCACTCGTCTGTGTGTGTGCTTTATGTGTGTGTGTGGCTTGCGAGCGGCGGGCTTCTTTCTATTTTCGCAGTCTGTTTCTGCAACTGGCACTGACCCGGCGCTGCACCCTGGCTGTGTGCAGGAGTCCAAGGAGCTGCAGGCGCAGCAGCGCCACCTGGCGCTCGAGATGGAGGCGGTGAAGCTGGCGCAGGTGGAGGAGCAGGTGAGTGCGGGGCAGGGCGGGCCTGCATGTTGTTGATGCGCACCACACGCGCTGTTGTTGACATGCGCATTCCTCAATAATGCACAGCGCATGCCCTGCTCCCTGCCCATGTGTTCGCCCCCCTCGCCCCTGCCCACCCGCACGGCTGCCCCTCCCGCGCCCCTGCGCCCCGCAGAAGCTGCGCACGGCTGCCGAGGAGCAGCTGCAGGAGTCGCAGGATCAGGTGGAGCTGCTGACTGCGGAGCTCATGGATGCGCAGGTGGCGGCGGACCAGCTGCTGCACCAGCTTGAGGAGGACCTGCAGGTGTGGGGGAGGCCCGGCTGGCAGAGGTGGACTCATGAATGGGGGTGGTGTGCTGAGCCGCGGGAGGGAGCGGTTGGGCTCCGTGCCTGCCGGCTGCCTGGGCCGCGATGCCCTGGCCGTGCCCTGGCCGTGCCCTGGCCGTGTGCCCGCATCGCCACGCGTTTGGCTGGCCGGGGTGCTGATCGGATGGTGGTGGTACTGCTCCTGGTGCGGCTGTACCTGCAGATGTACCTCAGCGGGGAGTGGGAGGAGGGCTTTGACGCGGCAGCGCACGAGGCGCAGGCCGACAAGGCCACCCAGCTGGCGGCGGTGCTGTCCACGGCGCAGCAGGAGGAGCTGCTGCTGGCGCACCAAGCCAAGGAGCTGGCCGCCAGGCTGGAGGCGGCGCAGCGCGAGTCGGCCACCGCCCAGGCGCAGGCGTCTGCCGCGCAGGGGCGCATCACGGTGCTGGAGAAGGCGTGGAGCACCGCTCTCGAGGTGAGGGCCCCGCCCGCCTGCCTGCCTGCCTACCTGCCTGGCTGCTTGCCTGCCTGCCTGCGTGCCTGCATGTGTGTTTGCGCCAGGGCCGCGGCCTGGGCTCCCGCCCGCCAAACCCTCACCCTCACCCTCTGCCCCCGCTCCCGCCCTCCCACCCCACCACCCGGCCGGCCCCGCAGGAGGCCAAGCAGCTGCAGACGCAGGTCGGGCGGCAGCAGGAGCTGCAGGAGGCGCTGGCGCAGTCTCACGAGGACACCGACAAGCTCCAAGAGGCGCTGGTGCAGTCGCTGGGCAAGGCACGGGAGCTGGCCTCCGCCCTCAGCGAGTCGCAGGAGGAGGCGTCCACCCTGGAGGAGCGGTTGGAGGCGGCCAGGGCGCAGGCGGAGAATGCGGCCACGCAGGCGGCCGCCGCGCGCGGGCGCATCGCAGTCCTGGAGCGCGCCTGGGCGGCGGCGCTGGAGGTGCGTGCCGCGGCGCGGCGCGGCCAACCAGCCATGCCCTGCGTTGCCGCGCCCGGCCGCCGCGCTCGCCTGGCCCGCCGCTCTGCTGCTGCCCCCCGTGCCTCCCCTGCCACTCCTCGCTGGCTCCCAGCTCCCCACCCCGCCGCCGTGCTTCCGCCTGCTGCTCCCTGCAGGACGCCAAAGAGCTGGAGCTGGTGCGGAATGAGAAGCTGCAGGCCGAGAGCGCGCTGGAGGTCTCTCGCCAGGAGGCCTCGGGCCTGGCTGCCCAGCTGGCCGAGGCCCAGAAGGAGGCGGCCGCGGCGGCAGAGGCCCGCGAGCAGGCGGCCGCCGAGCAGCAGCGCGCCAGCCGGCTGCAGCAGGAGCTGGCGGAGGCGCAGCGCGAGCAGCAGGAGCTGAGCGGCAGGGCGGCGGCGCTGGCGGCGCAGGTGGAGGAGGCGCGGCGGGATGCGGCCAGCGCCAAGGCGGCCATGGAGGCGGCCGCCTCCGAGCACAAGCGCTCTTCCGAGCTGGAGCACGAGGTGCACTTGGCGGCTGTGTGCTTGTTGATGCTGGCCTCAGCCAACGGTCGTGACTTCAGGAAAAATGCCGCATGCGGTGCTTCTTGGTGGTGGTGGTGGTGGGAGCCTGGGCATGCGCTTGCCTCGATTGTTCCCCCTGCCCTGCCTCCCCGCTGTGCTGCAGGCCAGCACCCTGGCCGCCCAGCTGTCGGCGCAGCTGCTGGCGACCCGCAAGGACGCGGAGGCGGCGCAGCAGGCGTGGGAGGAGGCGGAGCAGGCATCCCTGCGGTCGGCCAGGCTGGAGGCTGAGCTGGCGACGGCGCAGCGCGAGCAGCAGCAGCTCAGCGGCAAGGCCGCCGACCTGGTGGCCCAGCTGGAGGCGGCGCAGCGCGAGGCGGCGGCGGCGCATGCCGCCGTGGAGGAGGCCGCGGCGCAGCACCGGCGCTCGATTGAGCTGGAGCAGGAGGTGCGGCTGGGCTGGTGCAAGGGAGCTAGGCGTATGGGGCCGCCAGCCAGTCCCGGGGCGCAGCCATGCTGTTTGGTGCTAGCAGCTGGCGCGTGAGCTGGGGATGCCGCGCCATGGCCCCACACCAGCAGCCCTGCTGCAAGCAAGCCGTGCGCAAGTGGCTTACGGTGCCGCCGCCGCTACTCCTGGCCATGCAGGCGTCTGACATGGCTGCCCAGCTGGCTGCCCAGCTGGTGGAGGCGCGCAAGGAGGCTGAGCTGGCGCGGGCCGCCATGGACCACGCCGCCGCCGAGCAGCAGCGCGCCAATGAGCTGGAGGCAGAGGTGAGCTGAGCTGGCGCGGCACCGAACGGCGGTGGCTGGGCTTCGTTCACGCTGCCCCCTCTGCACAGGCTCCCCCCTGCGTGTGCCTGGCTCCGCGTGCCGCTGCCCTGCATAGGCCGTGCGCTGATCCAGCTGGCTTCTGCATGGTTGGCCCGGCCTGACGCGCCGCCTGCCTTTGCTGTTTGCCCGCGCCTGCTGCAGCTGCACGCCGTGCGCAGCACGCAGCGCGTGGACGCGCGCCAGCTCAGCGAGCTGGCCGCCGAGCTGGAGGAGGCGCGCAGGGAGGCTGCCGCTGCCAAGTCGTCGCAGGCCTCCACCGCCTGGCGCAACGCGCTGCTGGAGAAGTCCTGGGCCGCGGCTCTGGAGGTGAGGCCCGGGGCGCCCTGCCTGTGGGCCTTACCCCGCTGCACCTTGCTGCACCGTCGCTGCTGCTGCGTGCTGTTCCATGAGTGGGGCACACGTGTGCTCCTCGGGCCCACCAGCCGCAGCACCTGGCCGACCCCTCGCACCCACGCTCATCCCATCTTGCCTGTCTCTCCCCTCCCCCTCCCTGCCCCGCGCCTCCTCAGGACGCCAAGATGCTGCAGCTGGAGAAGCGCAGCCTGGAGTCTGCTCTGGCGCACTCCCAGCGCGAGGCGTTTGCGCTGACCTCCCAGCTGGAGCGCGCCTCGGCGCTGACCAAGCAGCTGGAGCAGGCGCAGAGCGACGCCAAGGCGCAGGCGCTGGTGGCCTCCTCCGCCAAGGCCCGCATCGCGCTCCTGGAGAAGGCCTGGACGGCGGCGCTGGAGGTGGGGGGCACGCTGCTTGCGACGCTGGCTTGGGGCGCTGTGGTGCGGCGGCTGGCGGCATGCGTTGGGCTTGGCGTGGCGTGGCGGACCAGGGTCGAGCCCTGCTGCTTTGTGTGCGCTTGCCTGCGGTTGAAACGCCCTCGGCCCCTCTTCCCTCCCCTTCTTCTGCAGGACGCCCGCCAGCTCAAGGCCGCCGGCGTGGCCACTCGGTGGTAGGCTGGGTGAACCCCTGCGCACCAGCACCACACCAGCACCGCTCCACACCCCACTGTATCCCTGTATTCTTCTGGGGCTGGCCGCTGCCGCCGCAGCTGGTGCAGCGACAGGCAGCGGCCGCCACCCCACACACACCGCTATCTTGCGCGAATCTCCAATCCCCCGAAAAGGAACCCCATCTGTCGCTGCAAATTGTTTTCCTGCTCCCAGCAGCGGTACTGGTGACTGAGAGCAGCGGACCCTCCTGGCCGCATGCCTGCCCAGCCCTCCTGCTGCGGGCGCATCTGGTCCTTCCTTCCTCGCCCTTCCTCACCAAGCACGGCCCGCACTCCTATTTTTGCGTTTTCCAAACCTGCTGGCCAATGCCCAGCCGTCGCCGATCTGTACAGACGGCTGGCAGGAGTGCCGGATTTTGGTGACTGGATGCCCACTGTCGCTTCCCCACATCCAGCCGCATCCAGCACACGCGCTTTCTCTGCATCGGAGCCCCAATTTTTGGTTGGCCGTGCATGTCCACCCGTTGTCTGGGGCGGGAGAGTGTGTGCCCCGCCCCCTCCCCTTGCCGTGTTGTCGTGTGTGTGTGGCCAGGCCACGCCATACCCTCACTCTTACTACGAAGCCTTTCAGTTTGTCCGCACCCCCACCAGCTAGCGCCTCACGTTGCTCTGTACCAACACTTTTGACCCACGTGCCCTTTCGTTTGACTGATTCCGGGACCAAAAGATCAACTGGCAGCCGTGAGCAGCCCCCTTTTCCCCCACCCCGCGCTGATACTAATACCTTTCATTGGATGCTTTGATGATCCGATCTGACAACAAGCAGCATTTTATTCGGAGCGCCGCTGCGCACTCACTGTAATACCCAGTAAGCAGCGCAAATGCAGGCCAGCAATGTGGACTCGCTCAAATTCGCTCAGAAGAAGAAGGGCAACTGTTGAAGTTGTCGTCACACCTTGTACCGCAGGCGGAACGAGGCTGCCGCCTCCTTCAGCGCCGGCCCCGCCTCCTGCCACTGGCCTGCGGGCGCCGAGGCCGCCAGCACGTACAGCCGCCCCAGCTGGGCCGCCGCCGCCAGCTGCACGCGCGTGCCGTCTGGCAGCAGCACGTCGTAGCTGCAAGGAGATGCAGCAGAAGGCAAGCAAGGGCTCGGTATTGAGCTACCACAGGTGCTGAGCTTCCCCACACCACCACAGAATGCTGCTCAGCCAGCTCAGCCAGCACAGTCCCTGGCCCTGGCCCTCACCTGTAGTAGCTGACCGGGTCCCGCTGGATCGTGCCCAGCAGCGTGCCCGTGTCCTTGGGCGGCTGCGCCACAGAAGCGGCCGACACAGAGGCCACCACCGCGCCCGGCGGCAGCAGCAGGTTGGCCACCTGCCGCGGGTCGCCCAGCTGGGAGATGTCTGCGGGGAGGCGGGAGAGCGGGGAAGCACCGGTGAGTGTGTGTGCGTGTTGGTGGTGGCCGAGTGTGGGTGTATGTGGCTATGTGGCCCGACAGATGTATAGGTCCTCTGCGAGGGCAGATCCTGGGCTGCCCACCAGTCCAGCCTGCCACACCCACACGCAACCCACAACCAGGCACCACCGCCGAGCGCCACCGCCAGCCTGCGCGCCCGCCCCCTGCTTGCCTGTGACCTGGAGCAGCGTGCGCTTGAAGGCGGTGGTCTGTTTCACCACCACATTAATGCGCTGCTGTCCGCCCTCGCCGCGCACCTCGGCCTTCAGCGGGTTCTCCGCCACCTGGTCTGCAGCGGGGGAAGGAAGGAGGAGGGAGGGGAGCAGGAGGGGTGAAGAAGGGCTAAAGGGAGCAGCGCAGGGAACGGGAAGGCTGTTGGCAGGCAGGCCTCAGCAGGGAGGCGTGCCATTCCGCCATTCCGCAGGCGGCAGATGAAAGGCGCCCACTGGGACGTCCTTCCGCAGTGCCCCGCCAAGGCAGCAAATGGCACTCTGCTCTGCGTGTCGTGCAGCAGTGCCAGCAGGCATGGCCAGCCAATCGGCTCTCCCAGCCCAGCCCAAGCACGCAACCTGCTTGCCTGTTCCCGCACGCGGCCGGGGTGGCGCGGCATACGACAGATCCTGCACCTCTTTGAAGCCTGGCGGGTAGCTGAAACTGAAGTTGCGGTCCACCCACTGCGGCCAGCTGATCACGTCTAGGACAGGAGGCACGACCACAGCCTCTGCCTCTGCTGCTGATGCCACTGCAAGCTCGTCGGCGACGGCGGGGCGAGCCGCCGCCAGCACCGCCCCTGCGGGCAGCAGCAATGCGGCGCCCAGGGCGGTTCGCCGGCTGCTGGAGGGCGCATTGTGCGTGCTGCCAGCCGGACTGGCCTGCTCGGCTCGGCACGGCAGCTGCAAGCACCGTGGCGGCCTGGCGAGAGTGGGGTGTTGGAGCGCGCTCATGGTGTGCTGTTTGCTGCGACCGATTGAATTGGCATCCACTGTTGCGATACCGAGATCCGATGGCTGAATGAGCGGCGATGAGGCCAAATGCTGAGAGTGCTGCGGTTCTGCCCCAAACTCTGGGGCCCAATTGGCTGCGCTGATCAGCTGTAGCCATTCCAGGTACATCCCATAGTCTGAGCCGAGCCCAGCAGCGCCGATGGCGCACGCCGCCAGCTTCGAGGCCCAGCAGGCCGCCAAGCTGTCTGCAGAGGAGCTGCAGGAGCTCACGAAAGAGCTGTTCAACTGGAGCAAAGACGCCACGAAGAAGGCGGGCCGCAAGGGCCTGGCAGCCGAAGCAGCACCCCCCGCCGCCGCGACTGCCGCCGGTCAAAGCGCCGGCAGCGGCGCTGTACAACAGGAGCAGCAGGCAGGGCCTGCGAGCACGGCACGGCACCCTGCTGCCCACACATACGAGCACTACAGGTCCAAGTGGGACAAGTTCGATGTAGATGCGGCTCTGTCGGAAGATGGAGAGGAGCAGGGCGGCTCTGCCGCGGTCAACAGCACCCGGCCCGCCAGCGCAGGCGGCAGCGGCGGGCCGCGCAGCAGCGCCAGCGCGCCCATGGCCATCCCGCAGGCCCGGGTCACGGTGCCGGTGGGTCCCAGCCCGCCGGCGGCCGCCGACGGCGGCGCGGCGCCCGCCAGCGCCGAGGGGTGGAAAGATGCCGGGAACGAGCACTTCAAGCGCGGGCGCTACCGCCAGGCCGTGGAGGCCTACACCGCCAGCCTGGCGCTGCAGCCCACCTGCCTGGCAGCCGCCAACCGCGCCATGGCGCGCCTCAAGCTGGGGCAGCACGAGGAGGCAGAGGCGGACTGCGGGGAGGCGCTCAGGCTGGACCCCCTGTATGTGAAGGCCTATCAGCGCAGGTGGGCATGTCCCTTGGGGCCGCCAGCGCTGCGCTGGGCGCTGCTGCCCAGACCAGCAGCGCACGCAGCAGCCCCGTGAGGCCTGGCCCTACGCTGCTCCCCAGCGCTGCCTCCACTACCTGCCTCCTCTGCTGCCTGCCTCCGCTGCCTGGCCCCCACCGCCGCACTCCGCTGCTGGTCCCGATGCTGCCGCAGGGCCACCGCGCGGCGCCAGCTGGGCGACCTGCTGGGTGCTGTGCAGGACCACGAATCGGTACTGCGCCTGGAGCCCAGCAACAAGCAGGCGGCAGCCGACCGCGCAGAGTGTGTGCGCCAGGTGCTGCGGGATGGCGGCCTGCAGGCCCCCAGCCGCAGCGAGCGGCTGGCTGTGCGGGTGGCGCCGGCGCCGTCAGGAGCTGCTGTGGCAAGCGAGGCAGCAGGTGCAGAGGCGGGGGCGGTTGGTGGCGGTGCCGAGGAGCTTCTCATGGTGTCCAGCGTGCAGCGGCAGCCCAGGGTGCAGGCGGGCGACGGGGCGGCTGGAATGGGGGCGGCTGGGCAGGGCGAGCAGACGCCGCTGCTGTCGGGGCAGCACCTGTCGCCGGCCACGCCGACAGCATCCATTCAGGTACTAGAGGCGGTGGATGGGGACGACAGCATGCCAGACCTGGTGGAGCAGCAGGCCCCGCCGCCACAGCAGCAGCAGCAGCAGCAGCAGGAGCAGCAGGCAGGCGCCGAGGCAGCGGGCGAGCAGGCCAAGGAGGTAGCTAGCCCCCATCGCCAGCAGCCTGCAGAGCTGCCTGCAGAGCGGCAGGATGTCTGTTCCAGTGCAGACATGGCAGCACCCATGGACCAAGATCAGCAGCCTGCTGCAGCACCGGCAACCGCTCACATGGCCGTGATGGCGCCAGCTGGATCAGCAGCCGCTGCGCAGCCTGCGGCCGCGCCGTGCCCCGCCCCTGCCCGGCCAGCAGTCGCGGCAGCAGCCCCTACTCCACTTAGGGTTCCTCGCACAGGTGTGCTTGCCGGTGCTCCTTGCTGCTTGCTCTCAGTTTGGCTGCCAGCCTACCTGCCTGCTGACCGCAGCAGGGTACCGTCTCTCATCCCTCACGTTTTGCCACCTACCCTTCCCTGCCTGCTGCAGGCGTGGATTTTGAGAAGGCGTGGAAGGCGTTCAAGGGTGATGCGCAGCGGCAGGCCGCCTACCTGCTGGCCCTGCAGCCCGCCCAGCTGCCGCCGCTGCTGAAGCAGGCGCTCACCCCGGGGCTGCTGGCGGCCGCCGCCGGCGCGCTGCTGCGCCCCGCGCTGCAGCAGCAGCCTGGGCAGGCGGTGGCGCTGCTGGAGGGGCTGCCCGGGGTCGCTCGTTTTGACATCAACCTGCTGAGCGTGCCGCCGCGGCAGAAGGCGGAGCTGGCGGCGGCGTGGGATGCGGCGCAGCCGGAGCTGGCAGGGACAGACGGCGCGCTGGCGGGCAGGCTGGAGGGCATCAGGCGCAAGTACAAGCTTTGATGGCGTGAGCCTTTGATCAAATGGATCCACACGGCTGTAAAAGCTCCGTTGGGGTCTCGCCGCCAAGCGCGGCTGTTGCATTGCTGCCCAGCCATGCATACGCGTCGAGCACGCGTCTAAGCTGTTGGCTGTCGCTCAACAAGTAATAAGAGTATCCATCTGCTGCAAGCTGCACCTGGTACAAACTGCTTGCGAAATGCAAAAGTGCTCGAGTGAAGTGAGCAGAGCACACGCCATTTCGGGCACGCAGCTGGCGGCCTGGATAACCCGGGTGCTATCACTTCTCGCGCATTTCGCTCTGCCTTCCTTGCCAAAATCGCTGAGCGATCGCGTCGCCTCTCGGTTTGCCCACCCACTGCTGGTCGCCGCCGCCACTTCCTCTGTTTTGTGCATCCACGCAAAATGGTGGCATCCGGGGACGTCGGGGTAGCCTTTGCGATGGTGTGCGGAGCGGGAGCAGCGAGCAGCCTGGGCGCCAGTTGCGTGTTTGCAGTCAAAGTTGCCTCGCCGCGCGTGCTGGCGATCGCCCTGGGATTTGCGGCAGGAGTGATGATGTGAGGCCTCAGCCGGGCAGCCGCATGCAGGGCATGCGCATGCCCCTCATGCCTAGAACCGCCTTTGGCCACCAGTGCACTTCTGAACCTATTGGGTGCGCCATTGCAGCTACGTGGTCTTTGCCGAGATCCTCAGCCAGAACGCTATTGACTCCTTCCAGGATGCGGGCTACTCAGGTGCTTGCACCTGCTGATGGTTTACAGATGACAGCTGTCGCGCCGCATTCTTGCTTGCGGGGCTCTGATATAGTTATACTGCAGTAACAGGCGTTCGGTCGCCTCTTGGCGCTGGCCTCCAGGCAATGCGGCGTACCGGCTGGCCACCGCCTGCTTCTTCGGCGGCATGCTGGCTACAGCTGCCCTGGAGGCGCTGGTACACCAGCTGATGCACTTTGGGGCGCGGTACCAGCAGCGGCGCATAGACCTCGGGCAGCACGACACGCACACCACCACCAGCACCAACAGCCAGGCGGGCCTGATCTGCTCGCATTCACAGGCGGGGAACGATGTGCCGCGGCCAGGCAGCATAGAGCTGCACCATCAACACCACTATGATTCCGCGGGCTGCGATACGGATGTCGAGATGGGCAGCGCCAACGCCGACCCCAAGGCCGCTTCCTGCTGCAGCAAGCCAGAGCTGTGCTGCCGCCACAACCCCGACTGCTGCGGGGCCTGCTGCGCGGGCAGTACCTCAGAAGATTGCTGCGGCCCGACGGCGCAAGTGTACGGCGCACCCGCCGGCGAGGCTGCACAGCACATCCTGCCGGGCACGGTGAGCCCTGCCCTGGTGCAGCGCCGTGCGCCCGTGCTCCGTCCCCCGGGTCTTTGGCTCTGGCGACTGCATCCGCACCACCTGCCATCCACCCCCCCATCCATCCATCCGTACTTCCTAGCCCCAACCCCCGCCGCCTGCGCTCTGTGACCCCTCTTTTGCAGGCCCCCGCCGAGGTGGTGGCCGTGCTGCAGTCCGACCCGCACACCCGCGACCTGCTGCGCATGAGCATCGTCACGGGGCTGGCCATTGCGCTTCACAACGTGCCAGAGGGGCTGGCCACGTTTGTTGGGGCCCTGGAGGACAGCGAGGTGGGCGCCAGCATCGCGGTGGCGATCGCGATACACAACATCCCGGGTGAGCAGGGCGGGGCTGTGCCCGCTGGCCTCCTGCGCTGAGCCGGCTCGCATCTGCTCCACACGGGCGGCGCAGCCGGCACGGCACCGCTGCCCTCTGCTGAGCTGTTGAGCAGCTCCGCGTCGGCACCCTCCGTGCTGCAATTGTGACCGGCGGCATGATAGGGCGGTTGTGCCTTGCAGAGGGGATCTGTGTGGCCATGCCCATCTACTACGCCACCGGCAGCAAGTGGAAGGTAATTGGGCTGGGCTGGGAATGCATCCGGGAGGCAGCCACCAGGCTGCCAGCAGCACAATGCGCGCTCGTATGTGCTGCGCCCTGGCTGGCGCCTGCTGCGCTGGTGGCACTAATGCTGCCACCTCACTTTGCGCCTGCCCTGCGCCGCCCACCACCGCCGCGCAGGCGTTTTTCTGGGGCAGCCTGACGGGGCTGGCGGAGCCGCTTGGGGGCCTGCTGGGCTACCTGGTGCTGAGCAAGGAGGAGCCGCTGAGCTTTGGCATCGTCTTCTCGCTGGTGGCGGGCATGATGGTGTTTGTGAGCTTCAAGGAGCTGCTGCCCTCTGCCTTCCGCTTTGATGCAATCGACCGCGTGGTCTCCACAAGTGAGTGACAGGCTCAGGGAGCGAGGGCCTGGCTCTGCTGCTGCGGTGTCCAACACATGTGGATGGCAGCCGGCAGAAGAGGAGCGGTGAGAGCGGTGCTAAGCCATGCCTGCGCCTGCCCCCGCACGCGCCTGCTGCAGGCGTGATTGTGGGGATGGCTGTCATGGCAGCGTCGCTGCTGCTCTTCACCCTATGATACCGGAGCTGCTGCAACTGCTTGTGTATTTCCCCCTCATCTCCTTCACCGATTATTATGCGCACATCCAGTCTGCTGGTTGTGCTCCCCCTAATAAACATACGAGCCTTGGCACTGCAATATGATTTGTGTTTCCATCCTTGGTACATTTTTTCGCCCTCGTCTGCCGCCACGCATCTGTCGCGGCATCGAGCTCGGCCCATTCCTACATTTGTTGTGTTGGTTAGGGTCAGATCCCCCCCCTGAAACTCTCCCATAGATGGAAAAGCTGCCACCCAACAATCAGGCGGGAGTTGGTGCAGCAGCGGCTGGTCAACGTCAGGCGGCGGCGAACGCTGACTTGGCCTGCGTCAGCACAGGTGGCCATCGCGATCAAATTGGCATCGCCGCCGCCCTCCCGTTAGCTCCAGACGGCACCTGTTCCCGTGGAGAAGGTGCCATTTTTGCAAGCAGGTCCACAGCCGATGTGGAAGTTCAGGACGGCATGGGACAGCGACGGCCACCCGCTGCTGCACAGCCTGAACGGCAACGTGGGGCGCCAGGTGTGGGTCTACGACCCTGAGGCGGGCACCCCCGAGGAGCGGGCCAGGGCGGAGGAGCTGCGCCGCAAGTTTGCGGAGAACAGGCTGCAGCAGAAGCACAGCGCCGATGAGCTGCTGAGGTGGGCGATGGCGCTGCGGGATGGGCGCTGCCGGGGGCTGCTCCCGCCCACCCGCCGCCACCCGCTGGCCACCCGCCGCGGCGCCTGGCGGCGTCAAATCGCCCCAGCCGTGCTGACCATCCACTGCGGTCCCCTCCGTGCAGGCTGCAGAGCGAGGGGCAGCGACGCAGCGGGCCTTTCCCAGTGGACAAGTCGTGGCTAGGCGTAGGCGGCAGCGCGCCAGCAGCCGCAGAAACCGTGGAGGCCGCGCTTCGCAACGGCGTCTCCTTCTATGAAGGCCTGCAGGCCGAGGACGGGCACTGGCCAGGCGACTACGGCGGGCCCATGTTCCTCATGCCCGGCATGGTCATCGCCCTGTACACCACCGGCACCCTGGACAGCGTGCTCAGGTGTGTGTGCGTGTGTGTGGTGGGCTCTGGGCTCTGGGCCTGTGGGCAGCCTGCAAGCAGCTGGGCTGAGCCCTCCTGCGCCAGGCGGGCCGAGGCCTCACAGGCATGTCACCCGACGCCTGCCCCATGCCTGCCACCCCCGCAGCCCGCAGCACAAGGCCGAGATGGTGCGTTACCTGCGCAACCACCAGAACGCCGACGGCGGCTACGGGCTGCACATTGAGGGGACCAGCACCATGTTTGGCACGGTGCTGAGCTACGTCACGCTGCGCCTGCTGGGGGTGGGCCCAGACGACGCCACGCTGGCCCCAGCGCGGACATGGGTGAGCCCAGCGAGGATCGCAGGGCGGCGGGCCGGTTGGCTGGGCCTGTATTTCTGGTTATCACGAAGGGCTTCCCGCTGGCGTAAATGCAGGCGTGTGCTGGGCTTGCTGCCTGCTGCCATGCTCATGCCGCTTTCCCCCTCCCCCCACCCACACCACACGCATACGCACCACGTACCCTCCACCACCTCCCGGCAGATCCATGAGCGCGGCGGCGCCCACGCCATCACCTCCTGGGGCAAGTTCTGGCTGGCGGTGCTGGGCGTGTACAGCTGGGAGGGGCTGAACCCCCTGTCGCCGGAGATGTGGCTGCTGCCCTACGCCAGCTGGACGGGCATCGGCTGGCTGCACCCGGGCCGCTTCTGGTGCCACTGCCGCATGGTGGGTGGGCGGGCGGGCAGGCTGGCGCTCCCAGGGGGCGGCGATGCGTGACTGTGTGCAGTTTGGGGGTCCACCAGCCGCATGCTGCAAGTCGGCTGGCTCTAGCCATGCATGATCCAGACTCCCCCTGCTTGAGACGCCCTTGCCTCCTGCCTCTCTCCTCCCTCCCGACACCCTGCCCTCCTGTCTCTCCCTCCCGGCTGCCTTGCCTCCTGACCCCGCCGTATGTACCTCCCTCCCTGCCCCCCAAACCCCCACCCACCTGCCCCGCACTTCCAGGTCTACCTGCCCATGTCTTACGTGTACGGCGTGCGCGGCACGTGCCGCGCCACCCCGCTGACCGAAGCGCTGCGCCAGGAGCTCTACCCGCTGCCCTACGCCAAGATCGACTGGAATCAGGCCAGGTGGGAGGGGAGGGGGCCGGGGAGCTGCGGGGAGCACCCAGGGGGCGGCGGCCCGGTGTGCCGCCACCGCGGCTCGCCACGCACCCTTTCCACCCTGCTGGTGCATCCCCGCCACGGCGCAGCCAACTCACTCACGCAGCCCCGCGCCTCTCCACCACCACACCCTCACCACGCACACATGCACACCCCACTCGCTGTTCAACTGACACCCCCCCACACCCACCCACCCGCCCACCCAACCCACACAGACTCACTCACTCATCCGCAGGAACTTGTGCGCCAAGGAGGACCTGTACTACCCTCACCCGCTCATCCAGGACGTGCTGTGGTGGGCGCTGTACAAGGCAGAGCCGCTGCTGCTGGGCTCGCGCCTGCGCGGCGCGGCGCTGGCGGAGTGCATGAAGCACATTCACTATGAGGTGGGTAGCGGGGAGGGCAGCGGGGGAAGGGGGAGGCCACGCGGCGGTGCGAGCGCTGGTGCGAGTGCCGGTGCCTGGCGTGGTGTGCGCGCGTGTGCTGCCGTCCGCGGTTCCTTTCCTATACCGTCTGCCCCCATGGGCAGACCATCCCACCAGCCGTTGGGCTGCTGTGCTGTGCATGCTGTGTGTTGTGTGGTGCCGCAGGACGAGAACACTCGGTATGTGGACATCGGACCCGTGAACAAGGTCATCAACATGCTGGCCTGCTGGTTTGAGGACCCGGGTTCCCAGGCATTCAAGCGCCACCTGCCCAGGTGCGGGGCAGGGGCAGCAGCGGCCGCGCCTGCCGGGCTGGGGTGGTGGTGGTGCTAATGGTGGTGGCGGTCGGCTGCGGCGGTGGTGGCGGGTGCCAGCTGTGGGATCTGGCAGATGGGAGGGATTGGGAGCCATCTCCGGTGCTAGTCGATCCAACCCAACATCCACACCCACCCACCCACCCACCACACATGCACACACCCTGGCCGTCCCCGCAGGCTGCTTGACTACCTGTGGGTGGCAGAGGACGGCATGAAGATGCAGGGCTACAACGGCAGCCAGCTGTGGGACACAGCATTCGCGGTGCAGGTGGGACCGGGGAGTGGCGGCGCGGCCAGCTGGGAGCGGTCGCTCCCTCGCCTGCCGGAGATTTGCAGACCTGCCCGCTCGCGTGCCCTGCCCTGCCTGTCACATGCATACACACGCGCCCTGTCCTGCCCTGCCAGTCCACATGCACCCAATGCGACCTGCCCTGCCCTGCCTTTACGCTGCTGTTGGGGCACAGGCCATCGCCTCCACTGGGATGGCGGGAGAGTTCTCTCGCTGCCTCAAGCGGGCCCACGAGTACCTTGAGCAGTCGCAGGTGGGTGGGGCTGTAGCTGCTCGGCTGGGTGGAGCTGGGTGCCAGCACAGCCAGGAGCAGAGGCACCTGGCGGGCTGCGGCCAGGCTGCCATGCAACAAAGCCAGCCAGCTTGCCCACCGGCCGGGGCTGGCTTGCGCCTGGAGCGCCACCCTCGTTGCCGCCGCTGCTGCCGCCGCCGCTGAGCGCAGGTGGTGGAGGAGGCACAGCAGCCTTTGTCTGAGTACTACCGCCACATCAGCAAGGGTGCCTGGCCCTTCTCCACCCGGGACCACGGCTGGCCCATCTCGGACTGCAGCAGCGAGGGCCTCAAGGCAGCGCTGGTGCTGGCGCAGGTGCGAATTGCGTTTGTGTGTGCGCTGTGTGCGCTCCGCGTTGGTGCCTACACCCTGCGCTCCCACACCCCGCGCCTTTGTTCCGTGGTGGCGACCCATCCACCCCCCTTTGTCCACCTGCCCGGCCTCGCCGCAGATGGATCCCAAGCTGGTGGGCCCCCCCATCCCGGAGCCCCGGCTGTGCGACTGCGTCAACGTGGTGCTGTCGTACCAGAATGGGGATGGCGGGTGGGCTACGTACGAAAACAAGCGCTCGTTTGAGATGCTGGAGGTGTGGTCTGGGGTGTGGGGTGTGTTGGGAAGGGCTGGGCAATGGTGGATGGATGGGGGTTGCTGAACAGTGACCGTCGCCCCCTGGGCACTCCGGACAGCCATTCCCTTACACAGCCATTCCCTTGAGGCACCAGGTCCCTGCTGCTAAGTGACCTCCCCCCTTCCCCCCCTGCCCGCCTGGCGCCAGATCATCAACCCCAGCGAGACATTTGGCGAGATTGTGGTGGACTACAACCACGTGGAGTGCTCCTCCGCCTGCATCACAGCGCTGACGGCGTTTGCCGGGCGCTACCCGGCGCACCGCGCGCACGAGATTGGCGCGGCGCTGCGCCGAGGCATCAAGTACCTGAAGAGGTAGGTGGTGGCAGGGTGGGATGACAAGGCAGAGGGCGCCCGGTTGGGGCGCTACAGCTGGGCTGGCCAGGCGGCTCCTGTGGCCCTTGGCTCCTGCACTTCGCGCCTGTCCCTGCCCGTGTCCGCTGCCCACCAACACTCCCGTCCCTGCTCCTGCCTGCCTGCCGGCCTGCAGCATCCAGCGCCCCGACGGCAGTTGGTATGGCAACTGGGGCGTGTGCTTCACGTATGGCACGTGGTTTGGGTGCGAGGCGCTGGCCGCGGTCGGGGAGACGCACGGCAGCAGCGCGTCGGCGCGGGCAGCCTGCGCCTTCCTGCTGCAGAAGCAGCGCTCCGACGGCGGCTGGGGCGAGAGCTACCTGTCGTGCCAGGACAAGGTGGGCGGCATGCGGCTGGTGTGGAGCTGCTGGGGATGCTGCCATGAGAGCTGGGTGGTGCTGGGCTGGCAGCTGGCTGGCGGCATGCCGCACCCCCGAAGCACACACACTCACCTGCTTGCCTACCCTGCCTCCTCTGGTGTGCTGCGGCGGCGGTATTGCAGGCATACAGTCAGCTGGAAGGAGAGCAGCCGCACGCTGTGAACACGGCGTGGGCGATGCTGGCGCTGCTTGCGGCGGGCTACGAGCAGGTGGACCGCAAGCCGCTGGATGCGGCGGCGCGGTGTCTCATCCGCCTGCAGGTGCGGCGGTAGTGGTGGGTGTCGGTCGTTTGTGGCTGGTTTGTGTCGTGGAGGGGCCTGGCTGAGGGGCCGGCGTGGCTTGTTGCGGCCTGTTGGGCCTGTGGCTGGACGAGGTGCGGGGGCCGCCAGGCTTGGTTTGGCGGCAGGCACCCGGGGCGAGGGACTCCAGCACCACTGGCGGCTGCTGATGCGTGCTGCGTGTGTCGCAGGAGGAGAGCGGGGACTGGCCGCAGCAGCACATAAGCGGCGTGTTCAACCGCAACTGCATGATCACCTATGCCAACTACAGGTGAGGGCGATGGCAGTGCATGCACACACATGTGTGTGCGTGTGCTGGTGCGGTGTATGTGGAGGGGGTGGGGGAGGGTAGGCGCAGCTAGAGCGAGCTCTGCCGCTGCTCAATGCCCGCGTCCCTGCGCGATGCCCGTGGTGCACCTGCCCTGAATGGCGCCGCCGCCTCCCTGCCCTGCCCCCCCCCATCAGGAACATCTTTCCTATCTGGGCCCTGGGCGTGTACCGCTCCAAGGTGCTGAAGCAGCAGTAGGCGGCGCCCATCCGCTGCCAGCTGCCCATGGCCTTCACGGCGGCCTTGAGTGCCATGGGAGGGAAGCCGTGTGCCCAAGCGCGCATGCTGCGCCCCATGGCGTGGTGGCTGTAGCCAGTATGACTGTAGCCAGTATGCATGCCACCGCGGCCAGGCTTGCATTCCGGCTTCACCCAGCTGCACCGTAGCAGAGGAATAACGAGCGGTACCACAATTGAACAACGCATGCCCTTGCCTTGTGTGCACCTCTTTGCCTGCTTCATCTGTCACCCGCGATTCACCCCTCGAGAGATGAGATACAACTTGCATTGTTTTTGCCATGCCCCGCGCTCTTATCAAAGATAGCAGACTGTTTCTGCCAATCTCTTTTGAATGCTCAATCGTTTAACTGCCACAATCAAATTGTTGCAAAGATGCGCAAGTGCTGCTCGGGTGCGTACTTCCAGCTCCAATTCAGAAGCGGAGAATTTCATGAAAGGCCACGGAACCGCGCCCCGATGAAGCAGGGCACCCACCCTCACAGGCGGTAGCACGGCGACTAGGTGCCTGCTGCTTGCCGCAACCTGCTGCTCGCTGCGCCATGCATCATGCCTCCTCGAGATCATCCTGTACAGCTTTACATCAACTGTTCATGTACATGCGCGCTTTATAATCTTCAGCGCGATTCAAAATACATGTGTGTTGCTGTCCACGCCCGGTAAGAGTGCGGCAGGCTGGCCTGCTGTTCAGAACATGTCCCGCAGCGTGCTCCTGGCCGCCAGGTAGGCCCGCCCCTCCAGCAGATGCTCCTCCACCGCCCGCAGTCGCTCCGCCGTGTCCTGCAGGGAGTGCCACACGCCAGGTGAGCACCCCGCAGTGTTCGCCGCCAGCTCACTGGGCGGCATGAAGCTGCCGCGCAGGGGGCAAAACTCGATGCCCCAAACCCCCCACACACCCTAGTGCCCACCTGGGTGTAGAGCAGGTGCTGCAGCCGCTCCGGCCCAAAGTCCAGCGTGCGGGACAGAGCAAAGCTGAACCGCTCCCTCCGCTCGTTGTCGCTCACCTCCCGCAGCGCGTCTGCAAGCGGGCAGGCAGGCAGGCAGGCTGGGGCAGCATCACTCACTGCCCTGCTCGTTGCCCTCACGAGGGGACAGCACACCGGGTCGGGGCCTGCCTGCTGTGCGGCCGGCATGCTGCCAACCGAGTTGGGCAGCGGCCAAGGCCTCCCAAGGGGGCTTCCTACCGCTGCACAGGTACTCGGTGGTGCGCTCAGCCATGGTCTGCGCATCACCCAGCAGTCCCGCCACCTCCACCATGCGCATCAGGGTTGGGTCCGCGCCCGCAGCGGTGGCGACGCCGGCCCGCGCCGCGGCATCGGGGCTCCACCGCCGCGTCTCCAGGCTGAAGATGTCGTTGCCTGGCGGGCAGGGGGCAGGAGGAAGGGGCGGAAGCAGTGGCTTAGTGGGCGGCGCATATGGCTTAGTGTGGGTGGCGCACTCGCCCACTTGACAGGTTTGCTATTGCAAACAGACAGCAAAATGGGGGGGTGGATTGGAGACCGGCCGCAGCAGCGGCCACCAAGCAGATAGCGCCGCCCCGCCCCGCCCCGCCTACCAAGCTTCTCCGCCAGAAACAGCTTGCCGGCCAGCCCCTTGATGTCTTGCATGATGTCCCACACCCGCTGCTCCAGCGCCGCCAGCTGCAGCTGCTCTGCCACCTCCTGTGGCCCCTGGTCGCCATACTGTGCCGCCAGTACTGCACGGGGTGCAGGAGCGGCGGCGGCAAGCCACATGGCGGCCTATTGCGGAGGGCAGGCGTAGCCGGGAGCGAGGCGCCGCCGCAGGCCCGCAGCAGGCACCGTGCACCCTCGCAGACATGGACCAGCACCACCGTCCCGGGCCCCGCCGGCTTGCCTGCCAGGAAGGGCTTGTCGCTGACGACGCGCTGCGTCTGAAAGCGGCCGATGACGCGCGCATTGATGAACAGCCTCCGCCGCTCCGGGACGGTCACAAAGTGCGTGAGCTCGCACAGAGCGCCCACTGCAGGGCGGGGCGGCACTGCGGCGGCGGGTCTGAGCTGCCGCCCAGCCAGGGGCAAGCCCGCAGCATTGGGAGTGTGCCGCGTGCCCACATCCAACGCAGCTCACCGCTCTCCATCAGCCCGCTGTTCTTGTCGGCCAGCACCACGCCAAAGCGCCTGCTGGCGCTCTGGTTGACGAGCTTGAACATCAGCCTGCAGGCATGGCAGCGTGCGCTGGCGCCGTGACGACAAAGGTGGCCGAAACGGTGTCGATGGGTGTTGTGCAAGCCGACCTCCCCACCACCCACCTGTACCGCGGCTCAAAGATCTGCAGCGGCACACTCTCCGTGGGCATCTTGCACTTGGACAGCGTCATCAGCGGCAGCATGAACGCCTCTGTGCCACCGGCGCCGCCGCTGCTGGCGCCGCTGCTGCTGGCGCGGCTGCTCGGCTGGCATCGATACTGCTCCGCCCACTTGCCGACCTCCTCCTTGCCACTGCTGCTTGCTGACATGTCATCCGGCTGCGCAGTCGAGACAGCACTGCTCATAACCAGGGCGCGCTGGCTCAGCTGCGGCGGGGTCAGCGGCGGATTGGGTGGTGGGGGCGGTGGGGTGGTGGGGTCATTGCCGCTGCCGCTGCCTGCTGCTGCCCGCACTCTGCTTCCGACAGCTATCCTGGTGTGCCGTGGTCTTGTGAGGGGCGTGGCTTGGCGGCAACCCGCTGGTTGCGCCGCAACAGCAGCGGTCCGAGAAAGCCCGAGCATCTCTCCGTGTTGCCTCCGTCCTACGAGCGTCGCAAATGCGAAAGCTGAGGTTGTGGAGAGCGTGCGTGGGGTGTGGGCCATGAGGAGGCTGCTGTGCGAGCTGGCAGATTGATGATCTCACGGGGAGCGAGAACAGCCCATCCAGGCATTAATTGGACTGTGCAGAGGTCCTACATCGCGATTGTCAGCCTGTGAACACCTCCCCCTTGCACAACCTCCCACCCGATCGCCTGGAGCTGGAACGACCGCCATGCAGTGCACAATCATGAGAACATCAGTTGTGGCGGCGACCTGCCGACCGTGCTGCAGTGCCCGGCCTATTCGCGCCGCCGCGGCGCCCCGTCGGGTTGCGGCGCCTCGTCGCCAGCTGCGCGCCACCGCCGCCGCTGTGGACGCCAAGGCACGTTCCTGCTCCGCGCCACAAGTGCATGCACACAAGCACACTGTCGCCGTCGATCATGCTTGCAGGCTTGCAGCAGCCGCTGCTCCTGCTCAACCTGTGCCATGCCACCCCCCTTCCTGTCTGTGCAGGCCGACACCAAGCTGCCGCCTTGGAATGCAATCTACGCCGACCTGACCGCTGCCGGCGTGGACAGCCTCAGCCCTGAGGACGCCTTTGACATGTCTGAGCTGGGCAAGGCGGTGGTGATCGATGTGCGGCCCAAGCAGGACCACGAGCAGGCGCACCCCAAGGGGGCCGTCAACGTGCCCGCCTTTTTGATCATCGAGTCGCCCTCCTCGCCCGGCGAATGGGGTGCGTGCGCAGGCTGGCGGGCCGGAGGGCTGGGTGGGGCAGGCCAGTGGGCTGGGCCGACCGCTGTCGTACTTGGTAGCGTCGCAGAGTCGGGCGGTGCACTGGTCCAGGCTGGCTGCTTGACACATGGTGCCGGCCTCGTTGGCATGGGCTGGCCGCAGGCAAGTGGATTGCCTGCAAGGCCAACGGCGTGGTTCCCACAAAGGTGAACCCAGAGCTGGCAGCCACGATCGCGGCGGCGGCGGCAGACGGCAAGGCGGTGAGCTGCAGCGCATCCTCCCTCTGTCCCTGCATGCCTGCTGGTCGCTGCCTGCGGCCTTCTGCCTGCCTCTGCAGCTGTCTCCATGCTGCCTGCACGGTGGGTACCAGCGCCTGTGCGCTGGCTTGCAGGCCATCCTGGCCTGTGAAGCGGGAGGCACCCTGGAGCCAAGCGTCAACTTCCCGCAGGGCAAGGTGTCCCGCTCCCTCAAGGCAGTGTGGAAGGCAAGTGTTGTGGGATGCTGGGGACCGAGCCAGACAGGGCAGGAGCTGTGTGCGGTCCCGCCCAGCTCTCCACCTGCCCTAGCGCTTGACCACCCTTCATCCTGAGCGCCACATCTCACCGTGGTTGCCATCCCCGCCCACCCCACCCCTGCCACGTGCAGGTGGTGACCAGCAAGGTGCTGCCCGCCGAGCGCGTGAAGCACCTTGACGGCGGCGTGTTCAGGTGGTTTGCTGCGGGGCTGCCCATGGTGGGCGAGTACGATGCCAGCAACGCCGGCAAGACGCCCAACACCGCCGAGAAGCCAAGCGGTGGGTTGGCTCTGGGCTGGCGGTGGTTTGGCTGGTCCGTGGCAGGGACTCTCTGCATCAGGCCTGCTGGACCCATGCAGGGGCTGTGTTTGCCCAGCACATGACATGAGACTGCTTCTGCACCTGCAGGCCGCTTCATTGATGGCAGCGAGTGATCGGCTTGCACCGTGGCTCCCGCTTGAACCCCGCCAGCTCAGCCCTGGCGACCCTGCAGCCCTCGGTGCCACGCTGCGGAAGCGCAGGTCGATTGAAATCATCATTGAATGCCTTGTTCGGTTCCTTGCCTTGTTTCCTTGGGTTTTCCTGTTGATAACCAATCACACCAGAACCGCCCTTTACGGGCGCCTCTGTGGTTCTGTAACCAACCGCAGCAGCTGCAAACTAGACGTTGCGCCGCTGCCGCCTGGCGCTGCCCAGCAGTTCTTTTGATAGCATGACGCATTGGATGCTGGAGTTCTCCACAATGTTGCTGCTCCACAATGTTGCTCAGGTGCCCGCTGGCGGGCACCTGAGCAAGCGAGAGAGAGCGGCAGCTGGCTGAACCCGTAGTACAGGCGCTGGGCCCACTGGTCTCTGCGGCCGTACCACCAATCGTGGCATGTGTTGATCGGGATCGGAGCCGCTAGAACTGATGCCGACAGCTAGCGTGTGTTGAACAGTCAGAGCACGGCATGACCATGCATGGCCTGCTTTCGGGACGCCCTCCCTGCACCCCCTAGCTGTGCGTGTGCTGGTAGATGGCATGGCAAAGGAAAGGCCAAGGCGCAATGTCATGAGGAACTGGAGACCCAGCCGCCAGCTCATCGGGCACATATGCGCCTCGCCAGTCCTCCCCCCTCCCAGCACATTTGTCCTTCCAGTCGAGGAATTGCGTCCACCCTAACCCCAGTAGCTCTTCACGGCACGCTTCCTCTGACGCCGCCACTGTCCTGCAGCTCTCAGCGCCCCTCCTGCGACTCTGTCAGCCCCTACTGTCGTGCATGGCGGCATCTGGGCGCTGAGCGGTGCAGAAATGGCCAGCCGCGGAGCGATTGCGGCGAAGCTAGCGAGGGCCATTTCAGAGTTTGGAGGCCAGCTTTCAAGCTCTCGCACCGGGAGCTTGGCGCAGGTGGGTGGAGGTGCAGTGGGGTCCCGCGGTGCGGCTGGATTGCAGCAGGTTTGCGGCGCCATTTTGCATGCCAGGCTACTCCGCAGCACCCCTGATCCACTGGGGGGCGAGCCACTTGCTGCCGTGCAGATATGGATGCCCGAGGCTGGGGAGGACGGCAGCATCGTGCTTAACACGCAGGCGAGCGCCCCCCCTGGTTCCCACCGTCGCCAGGCAGAGCCGATTGAGTGTCGGAGAGAGCGACTGTGGGCCCGCACTGGCCGCCGCCCCGCCGCCACCCACCATGTGCCGCCTCCCCTTGCTCGCCTCGCCTGCAGGGCCTGCCCTACTCCATCAATGGCGTGGGCGACCTGCTGGCCCTCTTCCGCTGCATCTCCTGCAAGTACAAGTTCTCCACAGACGTCACGAAGACGCACCAGATGGGGGCAGGTGCGTGGGCCGCCGCTCGGCCAGCCGCGAGCGCTGCCACCATTTGGGCACGCAGAGGCGCGCCGGACTGCAGGCAGCGCCATGAAGCCAGCAGCAGCAGCAGCAGCAGCAGCAGCAGCAGCAGCACACGTTTGGTTTGGCAGCGTGCGAGCGTGTGGCTGGCTTCAGGTGCCGTCTGCGTGCCCGCCGATCTGCCTGTGTGCCTGCTGCTGCTGTGTGCATCGACAGCAGTGGGCCGCGTGTTCACCAGCGGCGAGCCGGAGATGTCGGGGCACGTCCAGCGGTACGACCAGCACGTGTACCTGCGGGCAGCAGAGGCGCAGGTGGGTGCCTGCCTGCATGTCCTGCGAGGCCTCCGTGTCGCCTGCCGTGCACATGCGGCAGCGCACCGGCCAGCCTCCGCGCCGCCGGCGCCCCTGCAGCTCGCCTGCTTCTGCGCGCCTCGCCTCGCTCCCCAGCAAGTACACGTGCACGCACGCACAGCCGTGCCACCCCGACGCTCACCTGGCCGCGCCACCCTGCCGCCCGCCTGCCCCCGCCCCGCAGCGCTGCCGCGTCCACTCCACCCTCTTCATGCCCATCTACGGCAGCGCCCAGCGCGGCTCCTGCCTGGCTGTGTTTGAGGTGGTCCTCACAGACCAGGACGTAAACTTTGCGGGCATGGTGGGATGGATCATGTGAGTGTGGCGGGGGTGCTTGGGAGGTAGTGGTGGGGTGGGGGAGGAGCGTGTGGCTGGGTGGCTGGGTGGCTGGTGGGTGCCATGCTGGCAGGCACCCGCTGGCGGCAGCTGCCCGTGCTGGGCACGCTGTGGGCGCTGGGGCTGGGTGGGAGCTGGCAGGCCTCGGCTCCCTGGCAGGCCACGGCTTCAGGCTGGCCGGCGCACGGGTCGGAGGCGGAGGCGCATCTGCCGCTCCCGTTCTCGGCGCCGCCCCTGAGCGCGCCTTGCGCCCGCCACCCTCCCGCCGCCGCCCCCGCAGCTCCTGCCTCCAGTCTGAGGGCCTGTTCACAGCTGAGGTGGATACCTCCAGCATGCAGCAGCAGCGCATGGGCCTGCGCAGCCTGGGCGCCACCGACTATGATGGTGTGTCGGCGCTGGAGTCGGGAGTGGCGGCGCGGCAGGCGCTGGGCGGCGGCGCCGGCGTGCGCCTCACCCTCGCCGCCGACGGCGGCTCGGAGCGGCAGCAGGCGCTGGCGGCCGCGGGGGCGGGCAGCAGCCTGGACATCCTCACCGCGGCGGCCGGCACGGGGCAGGCGGGCGACACGGCGGGGGTGGGGACCGCGGCGGGGGCGGGGGACGCGCCGCGGACGGCGCGGTCGGACGATGGCGCGCCAGGCGCCAAGCGGCCACGCACCGAGGGCGGCAGCAGCGGCAGGCCCGGCGGCAGCGGCGGCGGCGGCGAGGGCGG